GCAAAAAATAATTTTGGGGGGGCATTTGCCCCCCCTTGCCCCCCCCTGGCGCCGCCACTGTCCACACCAGACTTGATACTATCGAGGTTTAAACTCGTAAACATAGCGTTGATCATACAACGTTTGATTCGATTTGCATCCTCTCCATTGATCTTTAGGAACTTTTTATTTTTCCACCAAAGCAACTCAACGTTGTCTGACACGAAAAGTTTTTTCTCGCTTTCTCCATTAATCCATCAGTCCCCTCTCTCGCTTTCTCCATGATTTGCACTCGGAGTTCCACCCACTCTTCAATTCAAGTGATTTTAAACAATTAACTTTTTCGTGCGTGGTCTATCAACTAGTATTTGTAGGCTTGAACGACGTGTTCAGTTAGCTTTTCTTTCACTGATAAGTTCACTGATAAGTTCAGTCTTAATTTGGTCTTGTAAAGATCTATAATCTTTTATAGTGATCGATCAAAACTCTTTCTAGTTAGAAGTTTTGTAATGCTTTGTAAGAATGACATTACGGTTGATAGTTGATGATCATAGTATTACAGTGGGCCTGGCTTGTCAGGTTGAGTTGCCCGTAGCCGGAGGGTACGTCTGAGCCGGCATCTTGCCTCTTGGTATACTATGGTTGACAGTTGCTGATCATGATTTATAAAACTAATAATATTTCCTAGTCACGAAGTTCTTTAACCGTTCAGTGGTTTCGACCGTTCTGTCATTTCTTAAGTCATAATCGTGAGTTTTTACCGCGGGACGAATTTCCATAATTTTGGTCAAAGGGTTTGTAGGGTGAAACATCACGTCGCAGAGATTCGACGAATTTCTTGCAAGAGATGTCTCTACGAGTACTCAAATACTGTAAGTTTGAAATTTCCAGGGCTTCACCATATAACAGATCTGGATAAGCTATTCTCAGTGCTCTCTTTTGAACAGATTCGAGAATGTCAGATAATGATTTAGGTATTGACGACCACAGGGGATGCATATTTAATTCTGGATCTAATGAATGAAATATATATTTGTACAATGTGTGATGCTTGAAGACCAGCTTTTTTTAACAGACGCAATGCGTATAAGCGAGAATTTTCCTTTTTCAATACCATGTCAACATGAGTATTCCACAGTGAACTCTAATAAGACTGGAACGATAACTCGGCCGCCATCTTTGAAGCCAAATTGAAGGCCGCCATTGGAGGTACGGAGGCGAAAATACACCTCTTCGAAAAACTCGGATTTCTGCCTTTCTAGCTATGCTAGAACATAGATGAAAAACTTAAAAACATCTACGATACTTGGACTATTACACAAATCATGTTTGGAAGCCGTAGAAAAGACTTAACGTTATTTTTTGTGTACCTGAAAGTCGTATTTTGTTCGGCACGGAAAATATTTTGTTATTTTCTTTAATACAAAAATGGTACCTTTCGAGATTTTGCTGTTAGTGGATGTAGAATACTTAGAACTATCCAGAAAACCAAGTTTGAATCTTTGAAATTGAAATCTTCGGACGAAAAACCTAATTTTTCGGTGTATTTTTGCTAAAAAAACAAAATTACGAGGAAATTTAACTCTCCCCAGTTCTTTTTTGAAAGTCACAGCGCGCGAACTTGGCCGGGCGCCAAATCACAAATCGCATATCACGGGGGATTTCTACGGAAAAATCGATTTATTCACGTTTTAGAGAAGTCAAAAAGCACTCAAAATAAACAACTATACCTAGACGTTAATACAAAAAAGGTATTGGTCCGTAGACTTATGTTTTAAAGTTGTTTTTTTTAGTTAAAGAGCAAAGTTCATTTCGGCACGTTCAACTAGTGTCGTTTTTACGAAAACAAACCTGATACCCTTCAAACTTTTTCTGTTGTAGGATGCAAAGCCGTTCTAACTATCAAATAAATCCTATTTGGGTTTTTAAAATTGAAGTCTTTTGATGAAAAACGACTTTTCTTTCGTCGAAAATAAACTTTGACTGAATTTTCCACTCCTCGAAACTCTCCTTAGTCCTTTTAAGTGCAATTTCCTTGCACGGTTGGCTTCAGGCAAGTATGGGCATGTTTACCTGAACAGCTGGGCATTTTGTACGGAGCATGCGCGAAAAAATCAATATGGCGACATACATTTATAGGAGTGCTTCGTGTATTTATCTGGTTTTAAAGCTGATAAAACAACATTTCAATGAACAAAAACTTTGTAATATTTAGTGGAAAACATTAAGCTATGCAATCCAAAGGTTTTAAATTAAAAATAAGTACTTTTGCTTTATTTTATTGCTTTTTATGCTTTCAAAATAGGCAAGCTCATTTTTTTTTGAAAGAATCTAAACTAATATTTTATCCATCATTTGTTTAATCTGAACAGAAATTGATAGAACAGTTGGCTACATAAGTTATAAAGGGAATTGGTAGCTGATCTGAAAGATTTCAGTATTCCTGGTACACATTTTAGCAAAGAATGACTGTAATTTTAAAAATTAAATATGCATATCAAAAACAATAGTTTTTATTAGAACAACACATAATAAGTTGTTATTTCCTATTTTTACAAAAACAAGTTTGGAAACAGAATCTAGTCGTCCAGTTTGATGTCATATTCCATTTATTTGGATATTTGAATAAAGGAATGTGAAATAATAATTGAAACTTGTCCAAAATTTGATACCAACACTCAAGTGAACAGATACTATCACCTAAAAATAAAAGAAAACACAACTTAAATTTGTCATATAATGCTATGAAAAAGTCTTAGATACTACAGGCATATAGTGAGCACAATGCTTCAACAAACTCACTAAAATAAGTTAAGTTATGCTATGATAAGAGGATGGCAATATATGACAGCATCAAATGTTACCATCTTCAGTGTCCAAAAAAAGTGCCGCGCGCATTTTTCCCAGCATACCCACTAACTTTTCCATAAAGGTTGACTAATAAGGATAATTTTAAGCCATATTTCGGAGAGAGGCAATGGTAAAAATTTAAAGATATTTTTATTTATATGCCATATCGCCACAGAATTTCACAAAGCAAGCATGCCTATATTCAGGATTGCCGTTAGACTCTTAAAACTGAACAAATCAATGCGGCATTTCTTATCTCATAACAACCAATACTTGAACATTTTCAAAATCATTTTTGCAGCAATTTTTACTTTATAACAAACTAATACAGGAGCAATTTCATAAGCATGTGACAACATGACATTTCCACTTCACAAGTGGATTTGTCAATTACAACATCTAGCACATTTTTCCCATGAATACCTCAGGTTTTAATAAAACAAAGTATCATTTAACTTTCATAAAATATATGTTCTAACTGAAGGCAACGGCCAGTTTTTACGAAATTGCAAGAGGAATATGTGTCATTTTCATCAAAATATGTATTTTAAGACACTTATTATTCCAGATGAGGAAGAACAAACAAATTATTGAACATACCTGTGGAAACAACAACAACTCAGCTTCTGTCAAGAGTAAAATATGAACACTTCCTTGTTTCCATACTGCTGTACCCTGCTTCTGAAACTCTGACAATGAGTGAAACATTTCCACTTGTCGCCCATTTGTAAATAAAAATTCTTCCCACGTTTTCATGCGATTAAGTCGTTATATCGTTGCGTACAAGCACTACAACTTAATCTTTCAAGAAACACTTTATTTGCCATGAACAAACCAGTAAAAGAGGACAAAAAATCCTCTCACAATGCATATTTTCAGCGTTCGAAGAATCAAAATGTTTGTTAAAGAAATGCGCCCGCAATATTTAGACAGCGACAACAGAATGCCCAGCTGTTGTTTACCTGAGTTATCGTTCCAGTCTTATTAGAGTTCACTGGTATTCCATGCAGTGCTTCCATTTTCAAGGAAATTTCCTTTTCTAAGGAAATTCTAGTGTCGAAAAGGAAAATCTAAGGAAAAGAAAAAATCTAAGGAAATCTAAGGATTTTTTCCCAACAACTTAAATATTCATCCAAGTGCATTAGGGCAGAAGAAAGTTACACTATTTGTTGAATTTTTGAGTGAATTATCAATTATGTTCAATTAAAAATCTGTTTTTAACTTTTTCCTCGTGTTTCCGAAAACTTCCGAAAGTTCTTTAGCGACAGGTTTGGTATCTTTTGGCGCCAAACGCTGTGAATAATTAATTATTTATATCAATGGAAAGGTATATGTTGTAAACTCAGAACAAATATTTAATTTTAAACAGTATAATAGCCTGTGGTTTTTTAGCTAGCAATTATCTTTGTTAATTGTGCTATTTTGTGCCTTTAAAATTGATTAAATTCTTTGTATTGCTACAAAAGCACTGCAAAGGTCTGCAAACCGCCTAATGAAATTTCAAGGAATTTTCAAGGAAATAACGTATACAATCTAAGGAATTTAGAGAAATTTTGATGACAAAAATGAGAAATTTTGGGTTTGAAAATGGAAGCACTGATTCCATGACAAGTCGTTTGATATCCATACACCTAGGAGCTTGAAAGAGGACACAGTTTCCACCGGTTTCCTGCAACATAGATCGGGTTTTCATCATCAGATCCTTTATATTTAAGAAAG